TTGTTAACTTTGTCCTGTGAGCAAAATTCCTTGCGGTCTCAATGCTGGGGTCCGGCCCTAAACTTTAAGCCACTTTCATCCCCCCCGAGCGGGGGACCTAAACAAGGGCCACCTTAAGGGCGGCGCCCCCGCCCCCCGGAAGTGCGGGGGGGGGCAGGACTCCGGCGCTCGGCCTCCCCGCCCCGCGCGGCGGCCAAGTGCCCACAGATGGCAGCGAGCCCCGCGAAGTTGGGAGATACCACACGTCCCGCACCCTCGGTCCCAGACATCTGGCCGGGTCCCCGCAGCCTCCACATTCCCGCCCCGAGCCCCCAACTGGAGCCCGCCTCCGTCCGAGGCTGCGAGCGCCCGCGCGTCTGCCCGGTTCGCGGTGGAAGCGGTCACTAGACAGTCAAACCCCAAGACGTCAGCCCACAATGCACCGGGCGGGCCGGGAAAGACGCGCCGGGGAGGGGAAGGCGGGGAGTGGGACGCGAGCCGCGCAGGAGGGGGGCGGGGGGTGAGGAGAAAGAAGGGCCCAACTGTAGGAGGGCAGCAGAGCATTACCTCATCCCGTGAGCCTCCGCGGGTCCGGAGAAGAATCTTCTAGGGTGGGGTCTCCATGGCGACGGGCGGGCCCGCCCCCTTGAGAGCGACGCGAGCCAATGCGAAGGCCTTGGGGTGACATCATGGGCTATTTTTAGGGGTTGACTGGTAGCAGATAAGTGTTGAGCTCGGGCTGGATAAGGACTCAGAGTTGCACTGAGTGTGGCGGTCGCTGCGAGGCGCGAGTGGAGGTGCTGGGACTCCGGGAGACAGGCAGACACTGTCAGGCCGGCACCAGTCCGAACTGCAGATCTTATTTCCTTTTCCAGTTTCTCTCCAACTGCCCAGAGCTAGCGCCTGTGGCTCCTGGGTTGGTGTTTTGGGGAGCGCCCGAAGAGCCCCTTCTCCAACCGCCCCCTGGAGGAGCGTCCCGCTGCCCGGGCGCCGCTGACAGCGCGGAGAGCGGCGACTGTCGCCCGGAGAAGTCCGGCGAGCCGCTGCCGCGGCAAAGAACTTTCCTGGCCCGGAGGGCGGGGACCCGCGGCCCTGGGTCCCGGAGCGAACTTTTGCAAAGCTTTTTCTCCACCCGCAGCTGCGGCGGCGACCAAAGGAAAGCAGACGGCGGCGAGAAGCGCGCGGAGGGACAAGCGCTCAGCTACGTTCGCACCGGTTGCTGAACTTGGGGGAGCGCGAGCGCGGTTGCCGGGGCGCCCTCCTCCCTCTCGCCGCGGAGAAGGGGACAGGCCGTCGGGAGTCCAGGGCGTCGGAAAACTTGGCCGTCGGCCCGGCCATTTTGCGGAGTCCGTCTCCTAGGGCTGCCCTCGGAAGACCCGCTT